AGAGTACTTCAAAAAAGCTCCAAATTCTCTTCAGAATTGTTTTTATGTCTGAACCTTTATATACAAGTACTTTTAAATTGTTGTTGAAAAAAACAAAAGCCGCAACAAAAGAACCATCATGTGCACACACACACAAAGCAACAAAGAAAAAAACCCAAACAGGACACCAAACCAAGTATAACAACTATTATAAACTCAGTAGTCTTAGTGCACCCCACAGTTACAAACTCACCTGCTTCTGTGATGCTGGTAACTCCCTCCAAGCACCTGCCATTTTTTTAAGCAGCTCCTTGCTGTTTATTTCTGTACATTAAGATTAGAAAGCAAGAAAATAAAGTTCAATATTCTATCTTCTTCATTTTTTTCTCAAGGAAATACATCACTAGTATCTTCTTTCTGTACAAACATATATTTCTGCTTTCACAGAACTTACTGTAGCAGCTAAAGGGAGCTGAAATATTTGGGGGAGAAGGGGAAGTCCCTGCCCTTGGTTTGCACTCAGAAGAAACGTGCAGTTCTAAACTGAAGCACCATTTCAAGACAGAGACACACCTATTACAACTGCACAAGTTTCATTGTTGTGTTTTTTTTTAGTTTTGATTTGGATCTTTTTCTATATAATGCAAGATGGTCTGAAGTTGGAGTGGAGACAGGAAAGAAACCAGAAGTAAAATTTCCAGTTCTCAGTTTTTTTTTGGCTGGATTCCTCAAAAGGAATATAATGTGACCATATCCACCTGATACAGTACATATGCTTTATTATAGTACTTCAGTTAGAATATTATTAAACAGAAGTCAAAGAAAAAGTAACTTCTTTCTCTCACAAACAAAATTACAGTGACTTAAATCTGGTCTGATTTTCAGGTGATTGTGTTTGACTCTGCCCCTTTGGTGAGGTTTCCAGCCAGGCCTGAACTTGTGAAGGAGGAAAAACCAGAAAAAGAAAAAGGTGGTGGTGGAGAGAGGCCCAAAGCTTTCCTTTTCTGGAAAAACCCTTATGAGGCTTTTCCTCTACTTCACACTAAAAGGAAAAAATAGATCTTCCTCTCTCCCACCTCAAATGTAAAGTTCAGCCACCGAAAGAGTGGGAAAGCAGAACTATGCTCTTATCAGTTACTTGCCTTCCAAAATTCTGCAAAAACAAGACAGATAGGAAGTTTTTAATACATATATACCAATCTTAAAACCTCTGCAAATATGATACTTTGCCAATGCTAAAAGAAAACAGATAAATCATTGGGTTATTTTTGAACACTACCTCCAGTGGAACAAGAAAGCCTCGAGATCTCAATTTGTATGTGAGATACAGTACATTTATTTGCAATTATTGAAATCTGGGAAACATGTGGGAAACACTGGTGTGGCACATAACTACAGTATAATCTGCAAGTTCAGTTCTCAACCTTTCAGGCTGTTGAACTACCAAGAAAAACATGGGATCAAATGGCTTTCCCTACCTAAATTAACCTCGTGACTTGCCCAGTGTGACCATAGCTCTTTAAGCATTTTTACATTCAACAGTGTTTTCCAAATCAACTCTGCATTCCATTTTGCTTCCCTCTAAGCAAGAAGAGTGACTGCATTGACTATAAATGAAATTTTTGATAATAAATTAAACATATTAACCAGAACCATTTTCCTCTAAATAAATTTACTTTTTCTCATACGTACTTTAAGGCAATCCATTAGGTTTTAAATTACAAAGCATTAGAATAACATCATACACAGCTTGTTATAGCAGCAATAGTGTACTTCAAATAAAGACAGATTTTAAAACAACTGAAAACCACAAATCACTCTTAACACGCATGGCCTATGTAAGCTCCTTCTTCAAACATTTTTAAAGTTACACAAAAATGTTCACTATTTTGAGTTGATCAAGCTAATACACATATAGGCAGGAAATACGGCAATACTGTATTTACTTCTCGTATGCTACAGATAAAAAAGATGGGGTTGGTCTCCTGAAACCTGGGTAATATGCTTTGGTTACTTCATAGAATCACAGAATACTCAGTTGGAAGGACCTCAAGGCAACTGAGATATTTAGGTCCCAAATGACCTCAGCAGAATTAGAAGTCAATTCTTATTGTTTCAGAGATGATCTAGAACATCCTGAGACAAATGTTACCTACAGCATGAACTCAGCCACAGATAGTTTCCTGAAAATTGCTGTAGTCTATAGCACTGTGAAAGGGCATAGCAATAAATCACAGGAAAACAAATTCTCAAGAAGAGCGACACCTTGGATACTGGTACAGAAGCTGTCTATCTTCTTCAATTTTCCACTAGTGCATTGTCTACAGAATGAGTTAATGCAGGACTGAGTATGGATATCATGTAATTTCATGTATGCTCAGGAGAGCTTTTGCATTATTTTTTAAAAATTGTTTTTGCACCCATCTTGTACTTGTTAGCCCTCTTAGCTATCATGAGCAAAATGTTACAGTTACTTCAGCTGCAAGGGTTGGTTATCTGGGGCATGCAAGGCCAGGCTGGATGGGGCTTTGAGCAATTTGGTCTAGTGGAGGGTGTCCCTGCCCGTGGCAGAAGGTTTTCAAATAGATGGTCTTTATGGTCCCTTCCAACCCAAAACAAGCCTATGATCTTACATTCATCTGGTCCGACCTTTCTTGACAAAGCACGAAGCAGACTAGATGACCTGGCACACTGTCCAGCTGTAACTTAAAAGTGTCCAACACCGGGCAGATTACCGATTGCTCTCTGTTCGCGACATTTATTTTTACAAATAAACACTTTGTTTCAGTTTTCTTCGTTAATCACATTCTGGAGGGAAAACACAGTATACATTTGAACTGAGAACAGCTTTACAACAAAACTTCTGACACGCTTGACATTCTAAGACTTTGCATTTCTAAACGCAAAACGAAGCGAACGCGAATCCTCTCGCACCTTCAGACCTCATACCTGGATGTTTCTGCTGGAAAACTGGACGGTTTTCTACTAAGAAGCGTAAATAGGCCGTCATAGGCCGCTTTGGGGCCTCATCCGTGCTGATCCCCCTGGAAAAGCACTTCTCAACCGAGGCGACACCGCAGGCCCTGCACACAACGACACCACTCGTTACGCCCACAGCGCCCGGTAAAGCACACTGCCCTCGCGAGAGGCCCGGCGCAGGCTCGGGGGAGCCCCTCACCCGCCGAGGAGGGGCACCCCCGTTCCCCGAGCCGCGCTCCCGCCTCGCCCGCACCTGAGGAGCCTGTGCGCGCCGATAACGACGGTCGCGGCCCGGGCCACGACCGACCGCACCGCCGCCATGCCTCCGCCCGCCTGCGCGCGCAGAGGTCGCGCGGCAGCCGCACGGCACCCTGGGATAGCGGCCGCCGCGCGGCGAGGGCACGGGCTGCGGCCGCGGTGACGCAAGCGAGGGGCGGGGCCAGAAGTGGAGGGGACGCACCAAGGTGACCCCGCGGCGGAGGCCGAGCCCGCCCCCGTTGTGCCCTCTCCACCCCGGCACACAGTGCAGTACGCACGTTCCGTGTTGGGTACGTTCGGCCGCTCGGAGCGTACAGGGGCCCAAAGCGACAGTGACACGGTTGAGCTTGCGGGAGGGCTGGGGTACCGGCCTGCCTGCACCGTGCAGGTGCTGCAAAAAAAAAGGAGGATGCACGGAATACGGTGCTTCCCCCCACCCCCATAATTTCCCTGAATGGAGAAGAAGACTGTAAGAATCACAGACTGGGTTCATGCTTTTTAACCAGAGTGTTTATAAGACCAACATTGATTTAGTATTCAAACAGGCTACAGGGAGAACGCCTGACAGACTGGAGCCGGTCTTCCTTTTCTAATGAGCCTGCTGTGATGGAAAGACAGTCCAGCACGTATGACAGGAGCCGAAAAATTACCAGTTGAAATACAGCAAGTCGAAAGGGAGCATGTATTCTGAGATGCAATTCAAACTTCGAGTTTCACACTGTTCAATATAGATAATGCAGACTTTTAAATAACTTCTAATACAACTGTATTATTACTGATCTAGACAAAAATAAAAGCTCTGGGAACACATTGTAATAGTCAGCTTTCTACCACCGTTTCAGAAGTATAAATAGTGGCTTTGGCTCCCCTAGCACCAGTGTAATACTTCAAGTATAGTGAAACACACATTAACAACAGATTCCTCCACCTTTATTGAACTTAAAATAGCCATGTTTGCTTAAGCCTCTAAGATTAACTGAGCCATTCCCCATCAAGATTTTGTTTCAGAAGTCATTGTTACATCATAGATAGAACCGTAACACAGGAGTAACATTTGCCCATGTGTGACCAACTTACACAACTTAGGTCAGGTCTGTAGGACGGCAAGCATTAAGGTAACAAAGATCCTCCAGCAGGAATACAAGCTCCCACTGTGCACGCTTCCCCTCTCCCAACCACTCCCAATGCCAGTTTTGGCATTCATTAAAATAAAAAGGCCAAATACGGCATTGTCTTAATTTATATTATGATGACAAATTTCCCAATTGAAAGTCACTTATTTCATGTGCAAGGTACAGAGAAAATACAGTCATTTTTATTTTCAGATACCCAAGAATGCAGGGTAGAAAACCAAACTTCTTCCACTTTTAATGCACTTTATAAGTACATATTGCCTCACTGATTTTCTGCGTGGATAGGCTGAAGCAACTGAAGTGCTAGTTAATGGAAAGTTGGCTTCAAGTGTAAGTTTACTGTAACATTCTGCTGCTGCAAATACACCACCTTAACAAGTGTTTGATATCCCAACACTTAACACAATTTCTGCCATCTGTAACACACCATTAAACTAGTTTAAATCCTATATGAAACAATGAGCACAGCATGCTAAATAAATTAGGCAGAAGCTAGCATAAAAATTAATTGCAACACAGTTCTAAGTTTTGAGATGCATGGCTTTCCCATCCCTATTGTCTACAGGACACATGCACACATATTTTGATTCTCTAGTGTTAGAACAAGAAATTTAAAGGTATGTATGATTAAAAAAAAATAGCCAAGACAAATAGTAGAAAAGGCATTTTATTTATATGGAAAAGGCTATATTTAGATTTGTAAAAGGTCTGTGGTAGTGTTATGTTGCCCATGTCAAAAATTGGTTGTGAATAGCAACAAAACGGTTACATATCTTTCTACATAGCAGTGCAATTAGTTCACATTGCAATAAAATCAAGTATGCAACAGAATCAAAACCAGGTGTTTCTCCATAATGAGCATATAAAGAATTACAGTGCAAAGATAATTTTAAGAAATCTGCAGTCAGTCTTTAGAATATCCTAAGAGGTGGGATACTCCAATTATTTTCATTACTAGCAGTTGTATCTTGTCAATACTGTGCACAAGCTAGTAAGTCTAAAATGAAACAACTTACATGGTAAATAAAATATTTAGTCTATACAATAAAAAAAAATAACAAATTACCATAAGTAAGTTAACAAAATGAAATTCGAACACACGAAACAGACAGCTTACTTTAAGGACACACATACAGTATTCATCACATAAAACCAGCTACTTTTTTCCAGCAAAAATAATTTGGTTGCTTTACAACTGCACTATGGAACTTGTAGTCTGAAGATGCAGATGCCCAACTCTTAAAAACCATATTAAATGTCTTCTGCAAAGCATACAAAGAGGATAAATATTCTGATCACAGTCAAAAAGTTATTTTTGGAAGTTGGTTCTCCCTTGCTCCAGAAACACACTTAGATGGTTGAAAAAAATTCAAGGCGCATCATGATATGTTGAAACAGTAAACTGTGCTCCATTTCCTTCTAATTTTGAAAAAATCCTAGAATTTACAGTACTCTGGTATATGAAAAAGTCTTCAGATGTTTACATTGCATATTTCTGAGTCCATTCTCTTGCATGTCTGTTGTATCTGTATATGCAGAAAGAAGGCATTACAGTGAAAAGCTGTTAGTGATACATCAGCAACAGCCACATGTTGCTGTCACTTAACACATTAAAACTTTTCCTCTCTTGGCATCGACTCAATAATAAAATAGTCTAAAAGCCAAGAAACATATACTCACTGTACACGCAGTTTAATGTTACCGATCAACGCTATTTGGACTCAAACTGAAAACTAGTCCCACAAGTTTATATTAAAATGTATGCATATCTGATTTGTACCTTAACAGGAATTTGTTGTCAATTATTCCTAAATGTGTAACTATTAACAGTCTAACAAAATTCACACTTTTTAGCTGCATAAAATTCAGTATAAATGAACTGGTTTTGGAAATGGTGGGGAGAGAAGGCACAGTGGGTTTGGGGTTTTGTTTTTTTTTTTTTGGTTGTTTTGGTTTTAATCATACTTTATTCTCCATTCTCAACTGCCATCTGCATTTCAGAACTTGAAAGGAAAGTTTTCTGGAAAAGGCTGTAAGCCCAGGATAAGCAGGTAGCTGCTACATCAAGGAGAAAGCAGCAAAAATGGAAAAATCTCACATGTAGTATTTCATCCATGGAATCCTTTGGAAATCATGCAGTCTAAACCGTGGAATGAAAGGCCCAAGCTTCCTGCCATTCACAACTGCAACAAACTCTGAAGAAATCAATGTATTGCTTAGCTTAGTTATCCACAGATGCCAGTATTTAAAGCTCAAGTGCTCAAAGGAATCACTCCAGAGAGGTAGTACTTTGGAAAGAAACATGACTATGCTAAAGCACTGGTGTAGTGATCTCTAAAGACTGTTATCCCATATTGTGAAGGTTCAGCCCTGTGTGTAGCTGTAAGATAAGCATTTCAAAACAGTCCTTAGAGGTGACAGTAAGTCAGCAAGCCTTAAAAATTGAACTTTGGGAAATCCAGGTGGTTCCACACTCTAAGCCAAAGACCCCAGAAGAGATGTTCCAGGCAGTATAGTACTTTTAGAGCTGAAATTTCTCAAATCAAAATCAAGTTTGGTTCAGAAGCATTTAATACTTCATTTATGTGCTGTCCATGTTACCTTCCCAAGATTAGAAACTTCCTCCAAGATCTAAGGTTCTTTTTCAATGTAAGATGCTGCAAATTGCAACATGACAATAGTTCTTAGCACTAAGAAGAGCAGAGTATTGGCCTACACTAGGTTTGTAAAATAGCATCAAAACCATGTTTACTGTTCGTATCTAACATCTTACTAAAGACACAGGTTTTACAACCAGAGGCTCACACTAGCAACAGATAACTCATATTTGGGAAATTATTTTTCATGAAATGAATATAAAAATAAATATGAAGGTTTTACGCAACCAAGTGCGATTACCCAACAGTTGTGTATGCCCACAGTTCTCTGCCTGCCATTCCACTGAGCAGTATTTTCAAGATTTAAAAATCTCATCCTATAGAAATCTATCAGAAAGTATCTTTAAAAGCTAAAATAGAAGGTGCATAGCAGATAACCATCTGCAGGTACCACACACACAATTGCGTATATGTTATACTCACTTTTCCTTGTCTGACTTGTAGATCTGTGCAATATCTGGTACTAATGGATCATCTGGATTAGGATCACAAAGTAAGGAGCATATGGACAACAGAACTAAATAAAAGAGACACTAGATTAAACAAGTTAGTTTGCTTCATTTCAATAATCCTTTAATATATCCCAGTACACAGAAGGAGATTGGTAAAAGGGAGATTGGAAAGAGAATGCATGTAAGTGGTAAGCTTTCACATAGCAGTTCTGCTCAGCATAATTTTTCTAGGTCCTAAGTAAGCACCACCTGACACTATCCTAGAGAACTTGCAATCCAGGGACCTGCACCTTTTGTAATGATCTCTCTCTCAGGTTTTAAACCATGAATATTAAACAAACTGCAGCCTACACAGTTACATAGAAACTGTGTATGCAGTTAATTAAAATAAGCCCTTCCATCTACAGTTATTTAGGATAATAAATACTGTTTACATTACACTGCAATGCAATCCTATTTGTGAATAGCCTTCACTTCTGTGCTGACAGTTGTTTTCTCCTTCATATGAGCATTTCACGGAATTTGATGTGTGGTTTCCATTTTGGGAAAATATTTCATAAGGATTATATGCAGGAATTCACTTACAATTCCATATTAATTAATACAAGAGTCCAAAGTTAAACAATTCTAAGTGTTTTGTGAAAGGGAATTTGAAGGTACCATAAGAAGCTGCTGCAGAACTGGAGTTTTTTTCCTTGCTTTTTCTTGTTACCAGATAGTCTGGACTAAAACTTACTTTCAGCTGTGGGAAGTCCACTCACTTCATACTGACATATTTTATTTTATTTAGTGCAAAATACACCAGTAATATAGAAAAATGGGTTAGAATACTTGATCACACCAATTAGAGGTGCTATCGATGTGCTGTAATGCTTTGAATCAGCAAAACAAAAACAATAAAGGAGAAACTTCCATGAGCCACTGCCCTAATTTCCAGTGTATGAAATACATAATGTGTTTGCACATTAAAAGTGCATCAAATCAGAACACAAGACCAAACTGCTCCAGAAATAGAGGAACTTGAGGAACGCTGTACAAGACACAAAAAAAGTGCTGAAGATCTGAAAACTGCAACATTTTTCAGTTGTAAATGCCAACTGCTAAACATGATACAAGGGCCCACTTTCATTTGCTAAATACCTTCTTAATAGCTAGAAATAATACCATTTTTGCTCCGTGATAAACCAACCAGTTTCTATGAAAAGTTGTTACCAACTGCACGCAAGAGTAATTCATATCTTCAGCAATTACTTCAGGAAACAGTATTAAATTTGGATTTTATTTTGCTTGAGATCACTGCACTGCAGCATCATTGTGTGTGAAGTTGCTTTTCCAAGGAGGTATAGGAATTGCACTTGCACAGAGCAATTTTCATTGGACAATATTTTCCTTGCTTGTACACCAAATGCAATAACACTGTTCTAAAACAAGAGACATGATTTAGAGAGCTCTCAAGCACTTAGGCAAGATGTCATACTGTTTAACCTTTTGAGTCACATGAGAACTTTCTGTAATATGACTAAGAGTGAGCCTAAGCATTTTGAGGATGGGAGAGAAAGAACAATGATAGCACCCAGATTTTAGGGAGCTTTAGAAGTGACATAAAATGCCTACAACAAAAGAACTACTTTACTGAAAATTCAATGTTCCAAAAATCTGCAGTGTTCAATTTGAGAAAGTTTAATTTAATAGAATATCTTAATACATCTTTTACTGATGACTTTGAAAGCAGCTACATTTTAAAATATCCATCTTACAGAGGAATGCAAAACAGAACAATTTATCTAATATTAAAATAAAGTGTAATTAAGACCTTAGCCCACACAAGGATGCTTAGGCAACCCAAAGAGCTATCAATAAGCAATCAATTAATCCCACACATCAGTATCAGGGTTTTCCACTTACATCCAAATTAATTTGATTCTGAAGCCCTGCTCACCTGTTTCTCCTCAGTTCCGCATGCGCAGTCAGCTATAACAGAAGTTGCATTTCAAGCTAACTGAACATTTACTACCTTACCCAATCTGTTTTAGAACCTTTATTTGCCATGCACCCGGTATTTTATGTAATGTGACACTCCAAATAAACCATGCAAGATCTTGGATCATAACAAGAATTCCAATGGAATTTGCCACTTTTGTTATGTGCAGGATAAATGAGTTCCCACTGCCACCCTTAGATAGTACAGTAATATGCAAATAAGTACCACAGCAGTTTATATAATTTCATAAACACGTTAGCAAATCTGTGAGTTTACCTTTAGATACAGTCAGAGCTGGTGACCATTGTGATCTCAGGATATCAAGACAAATACTCCCATTACTGTTTATGTTTGGGTGGTATATTTTTGTTGTAAAAGCAATCTGGAGTAAAAAAAGAAAAATAAAAACAGTAACAAAACCAAGAAACAAGTAACATCAAATTATGTTTATTATGTTTAGAATCCTTAACGCAGTCTCTTCAGTTCCAGATTTGCCAAGACACTTTACTGTACAGTCTTATCCATTCATCTGCTATGAACATTTATCCTGTTGCTGGCCTTTCTGGTTTTAACTTCCAAAATTAAGCCTCAAAGAACTACGAGATAGAAACAAAGCTTTGGAAAAAAAAAAAAGACAAACCAACAAACCCAAAAAAACCCAACCAAAACAACAAAAAAAAAAAACACCACCAAACCACTAACCAAAACCAACCAACCAAACCCAAAACTACAAAAAAGAAAAAAAAACACCAAACCCACAAAAAAACCCCAAATCCACAAAAACCAAAACACAAAACTATGTAAGTTTTGAGTGTAAGGACTTACCTTTGGTGGCTTAAAAGGATAGTCTGTTGGAAAGTGTACTGTGAGAAAAAATACTCCCCCTTGATATGCGCTATCGGGCTGGGAAAGAAAAAACAGAACAAACAAAACACATTAATATATTTCAGGTATTTTGGAATTTATCTTCTGAACAGAGACAACCTCCCAAAGTTGTGATTAACTCTGAAAAACTGATTTTTTTCCCCCAGTACACAGCCTACACTATGGACCACAGCCCACTATAGGCCGTGTACTGGGAAGGCACAGAGGGAATTGAACCCTCCCATTGGCCTGCACAGCTACAGTAGCACCAGCCGTGACTACTACTGCAGTAGTACAACATGGCTACAGAGTGTTGCCCTTCTTGGGAAGAGAAGGGGAAGGAGCAGTGTTGGACTGGTGTAGCTTCAAAATGACTGATCCATCAGCTCCACAGCACCAAGGGTAATACAAAACCCAGAGCAGGTCTTCCAGATCCTGTCTCCATGCAACATCACAGCTGCTCTGATCCTCCTCCTCCTCCATCCTTAAGCTACAAATATACTTACCTTAAGAAGTGGTACCTCTTTGCAGATGCAAAGAGTAGGATTTTCCAACATAATTCAGTTGATCATGATGACATCAGGGAGTTTTAAAACACACAACATCTTTGTGACCTGTACAAATCTGTGAACATGCATTTTGTTAGAGAACATGTGCACAGGTTTAGGTCCAGGTTGCACACAGTTAATAGAAAGAAATAACTTTGTGGCAGTCATCTGTTGAGGAAATCTTCCATTTTTATTAACTAGAAGAGTGAGGGGAAAAGTCTCAGTGGCTAAATTATAGAAAACAGTGCTGCTGTTTCAAATAAAAGGAAGAAAACCTCTCTCATCACTTGATAAATTTAAAACAGCAACATAGGAACTCGATCTCAGCAAAGCTGCAAAAGATCAAGTTTTAGCGGTTTCTAATGGAAGCAAATGCAGACCTTTTTAAATAAAATGTTTACCTTGGAAATAAGGGAAAATTACTGCTTTAGAGATGAATACAAGGTAAGATCACAAATGTTGCACTAAGACATGTTGTCTTACACACTCAAAATGCAGTGTTGCAATGTAAGGCAGGTTATATATAGTATTACTAAGAAGTCAACATGAGCTATCATCAGAAGAGATTGCTGCTGTACTGCCAATTAGGTTTGAAAGGACTCCTTGCATGCATTCTACATGGATTTGTCAAAGTTAAACTGAAGCTGAGACAAGTTGAGTGTAAGAGGGAAGGCAAAGTTAAGTTACATCATGTTTTATGATTAAGTAGCGTATATAAAAGAAATTGATGATGCCCCTAGGCAGGAGAAGAGTTTACCCTACTTCTGCATATAGGAAGTGAATTTTGAGGGTAAGCTTTAGACCTCAGGTCATCAGGGAACATACAGGACATGCATCCCTATTCCCTTCTGTTATCAAGATAAAGGATTAATATCCTGCAGATGTTCTTTACTTCTATCTCAGAAGATATGGCTGAGAAAAGGATAAGAATGAGCATCACTTGCCAACCCAACTACAGAAATTTGAAGAACCTGAAGCAAAGAGTATTTTCCACTACAGAATATGAAGAGTGAATTGCAAGCTAGAAGAAAAAGTTGAATTTAAGTTGGGATTTATATGCTAGTATTTCATTATTCAGGTTAAGAGTAATTCAGGACAGAGACATTATTGGTGGCAGTTAGCACATAAACTTTTGTTACCTCCTACCTTCTTTGCTTTTTTGCCATTCATCTTTAAGCAGCACAGAAGGGGAAGGGTCAAATGACTTTGTATGTGAAAGAACACAGTTGTTAAAGAAAAATGCTCAAAGCATTAGTATCCTACAGAAAAATGTGCCACAATCACTTCAGTTGCTGCTGAACTATTGACAAGTTGGACAACAGACTCCAGCATATGACCAGCAAATTCGTAACTGATCTTCCATTACTTCAGAGCAGCCGTGCTGAAAATGCAGTCTCCAAGCAGACAATCCCACTTTTGCCCACCATGTGATGCTGCATCTTTAATGGATTAAACATTGTCTCAAAATTTCAACTCGCACAGTGATTCAGCTCACCATCTAAACCAAGTAAGTCCAAAAGGAAACACTACGAATATATACTCCTTACCACGATATCAATAAATACTCCTTTCATCAAGTTACATGGGCTTTGGTTTTTTTGCTAAAACTCTTCTCAGTTTTCCTTTAAACTTTGTTCTTAAGTTTTGTCCTTTCTTACGTCATTTCCTTGACAAGAACAATAAATGGAGTATTTAAGAGATCTCTCTCAACCCAAGAAAAGCAGGCTTTTCTTGCACAGAAACCAAAGTACCTGCAGCTGCTGATCTACAGTTCGCAAAAGCCATCTTTTTGCCATAGCCACATCACAGCAATCACGTAAGCTCTACCTAAAAGCCGCCAAATCACCCTGTGCAACTCCACTCTTGTTTACAGTTACTAACTTTAACATTAAATTATACCCATTCTTCGTCCTTCCAGATGGATGAACCTTCCAGAAGTGAAATGATCATCTTTGAAAAGCAAGCTTTTCACTCTGGAGCACACATCAACAATTCAAACATTGCAGATGACTGATTAAGCACCCTTGACTTCGTGAAAAGGACAGATTTTCTAACAGTTACAGAAGTAAATTAGTACCAGACTAATAAAAACAACAATACCACCCTCAATCTTATACACAATACAGCTGAATTTGACTGCCATGTTTACAGAAACCCAAATGAATTCTTCCATTACAAAAAGGGTAACAAGGTCTACTTTCTAAGGGGCATGAATTACATACTTACAGGTCCCATAATTGTTGCTTGCCAGTGAAACACTGAAAGTCAAAAAGATACAGCAATTAGAGATTTTTTGAACTTCTTCAGTAACCAAAAAAAGGTCAACTGTGACAAAGCCCTGTTAACAGCTTACAGTCATCTCCAACAGGTCCGGCAGAACAGTGGGCCGGTGGATCTCGCTGCAGATCACTTAGTTCCTGTAAGAAACACACCAGTAATTGAAAGACATGTACATGAAAATATGTACCACTCAACACCACCAGGTCAAAAGAAAGAACACAGATCTTATTAAATAGGTCTGTGGTATTTTTAAAGAAACCAACACTTGAAATGCCCATTGATACCAAAAGGGGTTTTTGCCAGACAGATCTGCTGCTAAAGACAACATTGCGGTATAAATTAGTGTCTAAAAGTACCTTCAGAGTTATAGCCAAATTCCTAATAAGCTGGTTATACTGAAGTAGCCATGGAAGGGAGGGTGGAAGGAATGAGGACAATGAAGGGTTTCTTGATTTGTCTGCAAACTCACTGCTAATTTAGAAATTTATGTGCTAATCTGACTATTCCTTTTGCTTTTAGTTTTACAAAAGTTTCCTGCATTGGCCTAATCTATGCACACTAGCCGAGTTAAGGTAGATCATTAAATGCTTGCAGTCTGCCTAGAGATGATATATGAAAACAACATAAAGGTTCCTAAATAAACTAGAAAATAAAGGAAAATATTGGTTCTACACCTTATTTAATTCCCTGCAGGCCTTCCCCGTTTCTTCCCCCACCAAAAAAAAACAAAACAAAACAAACAAAAAAACACCCCCCCCCCAAAAATCCCCCCAAACCAACTACTAAAAAGCTGCCAGGAAAGTTGAAATTGAAGCATTCAGAGAAGCTTTTGCAGATCAACTGACTTATTTCCCTTACATAAGTCCACACAGTCCCAAATAATTTAAAATTATTATTTAATTACACAAAACCAGCTCAGCTTTTCACTTGATTTTTCATCGCTATATGAAATAAAAACCAAACCATTAATGTTGGTTTTTCTTTTTTAATTCAATATACTACTTTTGATGTCTGAAATTTTACCATACTAACAACAACTTTTTCCCAATTCTGAGCTGATAGGAACTACACTGCAATAAGTTTAATGACAGCTACAGGTTGGGCAGAGAAGAGATTCAGAGCAGCCCTGCGGAGAAGGACTTGGGGGTGTTGGTTGATGAGAAAATGAACATGAGCCACCAGTGTGCACTCACAGCCCAGAAAGCCAACTGTATGCTGGGCTGCATCAAAAGGAGCGTGACCAGCAGGTCGAAGGAGGTGATCCTGCCCCTCTACTCTGCTCTTGTGAGACCTCACCTGGAGTATTGTGTGCAGTTCTGGTGTCCTCAACATAAAAAGGACATGGAACTGTTGGAAGAAGTCCAGAGAAGGGCCACAAGGATGATCAGGGGACTGGAGCACCTCCCGTATGAAGACGGGCTGAGACAGTTGTGGCTGTTCAGCCTGGAGAAGAGAAGGCTGCATGGAGACTTCAGAGCAGCCTTCCAGTATCTGAAGGGGGCCTATAGCGATGCTGGGGAAGGACTCTTCATTAGGGACTGTAGTGACAGGACAAGGGGTAATGGGTTAAAACTTAAACAGGGGAAGTTCAGGTTGGATGTAAGAAGGAAATTCTTTCCTGTTGGGGTGGTGAGGCACTGGAATGGGTTGCCCAGGGAGGTTGTGAATGCTCCATCCCTGGCAGTGTTCAAGGCCAGCTTGGACGAGGCCTTGGGTGATATGATTTAGTGTAAGGTGTCCCTGCCCACGGCAGGTGGGTTGGAACTAGATGATCTTAAGGTCCTTTCCAACCCTAACGATTCTATGATTCTGTGGAAATATTTCCATAGAAATAAGCTAAAAGATGTGTCCTAAACCACTGCTCCTAAGTCACTCAAGTAATTACTCAAAACATACACATTCAAGTCAACAACAGACATAAGCAGGACTGCAAATATTTCCTTGAATTTAGCTTAAGGAGTAACAGTGGAAACATTCCTATTTAAAAAAAAAAAAATCATTAGTCATGTCAACTACTTTTAAAATTCCAAGGTTTAAATTCAATCTAAGTTTAGCTGAAGCGTGGAATTCATGTAGATAGTGCAATCAGACCTTACATACAATTTGAAGGGTTAAAATTCTGCACTTCTCAGATGCTGTGATATATTTATCCATTTAAGACATCCAGTAAACATTTCAACTCGCACACTACCCTGAGGGACCCAGTTTACCATGGACCTGCCGCCTAAACTCTTACTTCTTACATTGCTTACAGGCTCACTTTTGGCCCTGAATACAAAGAAAGGCACTTCAACATATCTTCAGCCAAAATAGAGTAGAAATGTTACCACTTCCTCTGAAGTCACTCCTCACAGTCCTTGTGATTTAAAACAAAAGAGACAGTTCTTTCATAAACTGAAATAGCTCCAGTTGCCAACTAGCATTACTTGTCTGTCCTTAACTTTACTCTGTTGGTGAAATTGTATGCTGGTCCAGAAACAACATTGCAGCCTAGACTTAGACTAATAAAGGTAACAGCAAAACCCTTTAAAAGCGCAGTTCCATTTTTAATCAGAGGATTCAAATTTCACTAAGGGAGTGATACAGAGAACCAGCAATCTATGCTAAACCAAATCACTGCCCGTACACTAGGGCAGTCAACAAGTCTCAAGTTTCCAAGAGTCATCAGCATTGTAGCAAGCATCACCAGCAGCAGAGCCTTACAGCCACTCTCTAATTTGCAACTCAAAATCTAACCCAAGAGAAGATTGAGTCTTGTACACACACTAAAAACAAAACAAACAAAAAAAGCCAACTACACAAGACTGTTGGCCAAATCAAAGCCTAAAAATCACATTTTATAGTGTTCACTGACTACTAAATTAAAGGCAATGATGGGAAAAAAATATTCAGCTTAAGCTCTTCAGAAAGTCTCTAAAATATATACAAACATTCCTTAAAGCATGTGTGAACTGCTAGGCAAGCACTTAATTTTGGAGTCACAAGTCCATAAATCAAGATCTTCACATGCCCCAAAACCACATAAATTGGTTTTCTTTCATATGTACTTCAGAACTGGCAGGAACTGGGTAAGTCTCCTCAGGTATCCATTTTCAACTTGTGCAGGCTAAAGGCACTGAAATTTGTCTGTGATGAAAACCCCCTGATTTTTAATCATACCTGGATGAGACCCAGAACTATCAACTCCTGTTATCAGTATTTCCCCAACAATGATGAAGAATGAAGAGGCTCTTTTCAACAAATTACCCTAGACCATACCAATAGTAACAAATACATTCCAAGAGCTGGAGCTAAGAAACAAAGCGTGGCCAAGCTTCAAAATGGTAATAAAGCTAATTCAAGACATGTTTTCCAATCATAAGAAATATTGTACTGAACCTAATGTGGTTTAAAAATACTATTGGTAACATGATCAAAGTTTGTAAATTGAAACTGACAGCGTTAACAGTTGGAGCCTCTACGTATGGAAGCTCAGATCAAACTGTGGAAAAACAAAGAACGAAACCAAATTTATGTTATTATTTATGCTCTGAAGCTTCATATTCAAAGCAAAATTATCTGGAGAACTGCAAGATTTGGGTTTCAAGCTCTCCTACATCATTTTGAACTGGTGCAAGGCGACAATGTCTGAGTTCACCTGACTTCTCAGTGTCCAGAATGGAACACTGCAGAACAGTTACTATAATTCTCTAGAGTAAGTAGATGTACAAAAACTGCTTCATGACTTTACATATTCATAAAAGAATTGTAAGTTGAATACAGGAATTACCTATACAAAGCAGCTAGAAGAACAGAGCAGCACAAGAAGCCCAAAACTTTGCTTTGTCAAGTTAGAAGGGCTGAAGGTTATTTAAAGCACAATGTGCTGAAACCTCATGGAGACTTCCCAGTAAGTTCATTGCTTCCAGCCGCTTTGTCTGTGTTTTATGGATTATCACCATGTAGCTGCACGATGCAGGTCTGGTTACTTCAAAGGCTTGTCTGTATCAGTATTTTTAGTCACGGGTATAGAAAATGCTGTTGCATTTGATGTACACAGGCTAACAAACAGGATCTATAACTCAAAGCACTGCAGATTCAGTTTCAAAAGAGAAAGTCAGCGCTAGAAATGACAAGTGTACACCAGCGCAGCATTTTTACAAGAGTGTACATAAACCCAAAATTTTGTCTGCAAAAGATGCAAACAGAAGTATCAGTTACTTCAAACACTGGTAAATGTCACAGCATAAAAGCATCTACCATGAGCTCAGACATGCGCCACACTATCCCAATACAGCCAGGATAAACTTGTACAGGGAAAACAGCTAAGCTGAGGACAGTGATAGAAATCAATCTTTTAATCTTCTCAAAACCAGGAAATATTACAGACTAGAATACTGTTAATTTTATGCCTATGTTAATTCTAAATAGTCTTAATTCTATGTCTCCAACTAGTTGCAATGAATGGGTGCTATAGCAAACTACTTCTATTTGTAACTACAGAACAGCACCAGAGCACAATGTAAGCCAGACCTGTGACTAAGCGTAGCTAATAAAGGAATATTAGCATAATGCTGCAAATGCTAAACAACGATTACTGGAGATGATCACAGCAAAGCCTTCAAATTATCACCTTTCATTGCACCACATGCACTGTAGAATAGCTCTGTAAGCAGCATGAGGCAAAAAATTAAAAAAAAAATAAATCAAGTTTGACATGCAAAATACATGCTATAGTAAGCTATAAATACTGGAAATATTTCAGAATGTGCAGACTAGTGCCCATTGTCAATGTATAATTTGAAATACAGGATGTATTTCATGGTGAAGACTGGAAGGCCTTACATTTAACACTTATATGCTTCATTAGCAGTCAGGCTTTTCTCCAAAAAAGCTACTGGAACAAGATTGTAGAGGATACTTGGATAATAAGGAGAAAAAATATTCTCAGGATAGCACTTGATGACTATGAGGATGAGTTAAAAAAAAAACAAAAAACAAACAAACCAAACCAAACCAACCAGCTCTTAAATGCCTCCTTCTCCCCCCCCCCCCCCCCCGTTAAAAAAGTCAAAAAAAAGACTGCAGACTATCAGAAGACCAAATTGAACTGCAGGCAGAATCACTAAAAGCTTTTTTAATTCTCTAAGAAACACAAACCCACAACCAGAACCCTTTACTACACCATTATTTACATATAGGTTTTTATATTTGCCAACTATGTTCTTCATTTCTTGCACTGTAGACCACAAACTCATTTCCTACCAATTTCAAGCATACACTGCTGCTATTATATTAATGCTGTTTGGAACTAGCTGCCAAAAAAAGCCCAGTGATTAGACTTAGGCTAGTTAAAGCATTCTCTGTTCCTCAAATTTGGTAAATGTAAACAAAATATTTGTCATAACGTTTCTTGATGTAAAGGTAAGTCTCACTAATAAAGTATATATTCTATTTTATACATTGTTCTTAAGCAAAAGAAAAAAAAAGGATATTGCTGATATCACAGCTGGTATTTTAAAAACAAATTAAAACACTTACATTACAGATCCAAGAAAAGTTTCCTCAGTATGCTTGTTACCATCTAAAGACAGCATGTGACTCAGTTTAAAGTCAAAACCTAAACCATAAATATTGATAAAATTTTACTTTACTAGAGTCAATTTACAGTAACAGCAGTTATTTTCAACATCAATATTATAGTCAGTATGTCCTGTTAGTCTACATACACATGAAACACATACTGAAACAAACAGACGTATAGTCCACTGACATACCTAAATGTTTGAATGCTTCTATTCTTACTGAGTTGTAGGAGAAAAACAATCAGGCACTATGCGCAAATGAGATAAAAAACAACAGCTATGTTTAAACTAGTCTTCTAACTTGTTTCAAAATCTCTTAAGTAGAAAAAATTTTTATGCTTAGGAAAAAAGTACATACTGGTTTTATATGTATTTCAAAACAGCCCGAGCCATTAACCAGCAGAGTATCAACCCCCATTAACACTAGAGGAGCACACAGAAGTATAGGGTTTATGATGAAAAAAATCTCAACTGTAATACTGAACTGACAAGGCAACAAACTCGCGACTAGACACATTAACCAAGAATTCATTACAGGAATCTCAGAAAAATGGTCCTGCATAGGATGAATGGGCAGAATTGACCCATGCACAAACAGGCATAACCTAGCAGTCTGAGTTATTTTCTACCCTCACAAAAGTCATGATGTCTCAATTTCCAGAGGTGGCAACAATAAAGCTTTTAAAAAATATCCCTTGGCAACCAAAACCTATGCTATTTGTTTTGCTATCATAATTTGCAACATCTGGAATTTACAATGCTCACAAGAACATGTGGTTTTCTTTCATTGGTTCATCACTGACTACAGAAAAGCAACTCCTGCCCCAAGGAACATCTATTCTACATTACACACAGAACACAGCCTAAAGTTTTTGACAGCTGAGGAACACTATGCCTCACTCTTTCATGCAACACCAAAGCAAAGCACTGATAAGATAACACACCCCTCAACATAAGATGAGTAAGACTTCCCCATCCTTCTGAGGGACTTTGAGATGAATTTGTCATGGAGGTGGCACTGACGGCTATGCTTGCACAACAGTTCTTCACGTCCTCACTGCTCTTTCATGCCCAGCACTAAGCTGAATGTAGTTTCGTATGCAGTGATCTGCTTATTCATTGGTTACTCATTGCTCACTTTTTAAGAAAGCTCCCAAGCACAATACATCTTTCCATTCCTAGTGTACAGTCTTGAAGCCCACAATGCTGTCGTCTTCTGAGGAATCCCTCAAGGCTGATCAACAGAAGACAGGGTGCAACAAAACAGCCCATAATGGCACCATTATTTAGAAATTGAAGTCCCAGCCACTATAAGACAGAATATGCTACTAACATTTCTGTGTATTACGGCTTTGCTTCCTCTGTAGGTGTTATCATTCCGAACACACAAATTATCAAAATAATTACAAACACTCAAGCTTGCCACCAAAACCCCTTCAATTCTGAAGTACAAATCTCAACCACCCTAAAACCATCCAAGTTCACTTACCTTCAGACAGTACATCTAGACTGACATGCTCCCAAGTAATACTATTGTGTTTTCTGACAGCACTTTCCTCTCCAAAGAGTTCCTCCAGGCTCTTGATGAAACTATGAAATCCCTACAGTATTTCCTCTACTCCAGATCTTACCCCTTACTATTGTTGAGATACACCATAGCTACAAACCTTTATAGCTGGTCTGGAACATCAGAAAGTTAGATTGGATGAACACACCATCATACAAATACATTTCATCTGGCATTAAACTTTCAGTTTTGTAATTTTCAGAAAAGGTCTACATATTACCGTGACATCAAGATGGTTTTAAAAGGAAAGTTAAAATAAAGGGGAGAAGTTTGAAAAGACAAACTATCTTATTTCCTTGCCAATTTCCTCTTCTACTGCTCCAGAGGCAAGCAAGCTGCTAACCAAATCCCTCTAGTAATATTTTTTATTTCCCTGGAAAGGCAGCGGATACTGATAGAGGTATTGGAAAAAAAAAAAAGCACAACCAAGAAGAAAACAAAAACAAAACCTGAAACAAAAGAAAAACCACCAAAAAAAAACCCAAACCAAACCAAAACCCCAAACCAAAACATTCCATCCAAACAAAAAAAAAACAAAAAAAACCACAAAACCCAAAACCCAAGTAAACAACAAAACAACACAACCCAAAAAACAGAAAACAAAAACCCAGCAATAGTCATTGTCATTTCTGCAGCAAACTAGAAGCAAGAAGTAACTAATTCTGAAACTAATCTCAGCTCTGGTAGGTCCTTCCCTGACATCTCTTCATGCTCCACACAGAAGTTATTGTGCAATCAGAACATCTTACACTACCATGAAATCAGCATCCTGGTAATAATTTCCTTCATTTTCAAAGTGTAGAAACAGAATCTAATACAGTTAGCAGAATGAAAGATACTCTTTCATAAATAAGAGTCTACCCGTAATCTTATATCTGTCAAACACAACGTTTTTAAATGTGACACTAAACAAAATTATGTGTTGTCAATACATATGGAAGTCTCTAAAGCAGAAAGTTACACAGGGAATGTGGTAAGAGAGAAAAATGCAGAAAACTTATTTTAGCAGGACCTCATTTGGAAAATCACAAACTACCACTCCATCTCGAAAATACCAGAAGACTACCATAACTTACATTTTTTCTTTGACTGCTCACCTTACAAAAAAATAAAAAATCTGTTTCTACAATACCAACATTTTCAAATAGCAAAAGGGAATCCACAACGAGAAACTGCAGCACAGTCACAGAACCAGGATAGCACAAACACCGACTAAACACGGTGCACCAACAGCAACAAAATACCACATATTCTATGACGCGGCCAAGGCACTAACATTACCTCAGCTTCTATGTTTACCATTCAGAGTCCTTTTTTTGTCTGTACTGCACAGCAACCAGTTGGGTCTTACCAAACAAAAGGAATCTAGAAATTTACTCCATAATTAAAACCTGACTATTCATTTGCAAATGTTACCCCAAATCTCCACAACCGGGATGCATTCAAAGGTCATATCAAGTACTGGGCTGACGGTACTTCTTTCCACTTCTTAATGTGGAAAAAAAAAAAACTTACGTGCAAAGCGAACCAAGCTGTGCATAACGGGAGAGCAGTATTCTGGCAACAAACATTTTACTTGAAGCTCTCTCTACTAAAGATAACCCGTTAACACAACGTGGCCTGTCACCCACTACTTCACAGCCATACCCTCGGGAATTCTCTCAGATGTTTTATTAAGGACTGTTTAAAACACTGACTCGGGGTAGTGGGTCTTCAAGAAGGCGAAGCGTCCCGAAACCGCAGGAGCCCAAGAGCCACCCTTTCTCCACCTCACGACCGCTCTGTCCAGGACAGCTGCGACCCACACCGGGCTGACCCCCTCCGCCCCCTGAAGTGGCCCGAGGGACCAGCGCCGGCAGCCAGGGGACAGCAACAGGGACACGACCTGAGCGACGGAAAGCACGACAGGGCCCAGGCGGAAACAACGCGGGGCAGCGGCATCCGCGATGCCTCCCGCTGGCCGC